AGCATCAAGTTAATCAAAATTGTTACGAAGAAAATTTATTTGGATTGATGAATTTCAAAATTAATTATAAAATACAAATTGAGTCTTTAATTCTTCCACATTATAGATACAAAAGGGAATGCTATAAATTGATAGTATATGATAGCATTCATATAGAACCATTATAAAAAGGAAGTTCGATTAAATTGAGAAATTTAATAAATCTGAAGCAATAGCTTTCAAAAACCATATCATAGCCAGCAAATAATCATAAAAGTAAAAAAATAACAAAGCTATTAGAGAAACATCCTAAAAATTGGTTAATCAAGAAAACGAAAATTGACTTAATTAGGCTTTACAACAGAATATATTTCAATTTTAACGGGATTGCCTTAGAGTGCAATATATTACGGATAAATATTGATTCCAAATAGTCAATGAACTCGAGGTGTATTTTAACTGACAAAGTTCACATTGATGGCTTTAAAATTACTTTAATTCCTATTAACTTCAATAATTTTGGAATTCATAATTAACTTTGAATGTATAGGAATTAGAAAGTTTAGATAATGGATGTAGGAAATTAATTTTACTTAAGACAAGTTCCTCATTAAAAACCTGGATTTTTAAATAATAACGAGAAGCTTAAGTTAAATAATATTGTATTGAGATATTAACTTAAATAAAAGAAAATTATTCAAAAATAAAAATTGATGACATGACTTCTGTCATCAAACAAAAAGTCAAAATGTTGGTAAAAGAAAGGAAAAGTAAAATTAAGAAGGATGGTCAATTTAAATCATGTTATTGGAGGGATAGGTTGGAATGGATTTTCATGTTTCTAAACTTGTTATGGAAATGTTAATCAATTTGTCTTCGGAAAATTTATTAATTATTTAATAAAACAAGCGTCTTTGTTTTATCATAATCAAAGCTTTATTTTAATCCTTGATAATTGTACTATTCATTCAAGTAAATTTATGAAATAAATAATTTTATGTAATTTGATCAAGTATTTTTATATTCCATATTATTGAAAAAGAATGGAAACTCTGAAAATAGTAGATATATTGAAATCAACCAATAATTGATTTTCTTTGATCTAACTAAATCATAATAATTAAATAATAATAATAAAACTATCATATATAATTTAATTTAGAATTATTTAAGGAAATAAAGAAAAAGATGAGTTTATGATTGTTGTAATGGTAATAAATAATTTACAAATTATCAAAATTATTTTATTAATTAATTATTTCCAATAAAATTTATTGAAATGCTCCTAACTTAAACCTATTCAAAGATGCCTTAAAAAACAAGAGAAAAATTATTTTCCATGTAACAAAAGGGAATTTAATTTTAGACTTCATGCAGTGTAAGTTTGTCATTGATTCACTAACTCATATTGCCTGTAATTTGATGAAAAAATCAAGAATGATTAAACAAATAATCATTAGTAAAACCATCAATGCTTCAAGCGTTTTTATATAAAGTTGTCTTCCATAATTTTTATTTTCCTTCTTTTTCAATCTAGAAAAATTACTGAAGATAAAATTTTAGATTATATCATACTTTTTATGTGCAGCTTATTGTCTTCTCATAATCGTTTCGCCTAATTATTTATTGAAAAATTCTAATATCAACAATTAAAAAAAAAAGGAAAGTCTACAATCTATAATAAAGTGTAATCTATCTTCTAGGTTAATTAAGTATTATCAAAAATAATAGAATAAATTTAGATTTAACCCTCCTTATTAGAGTGAAACGAAAAAGAGATTCTTTAAAATCAGCCTCTTAAGTTTATCAAATATTAATAGATGAGATCAAGAAAAAATTAAATAATTTAGATAAATTATTTTAGAATCAAACAAATCACTCAAATAACCTAATTACATTTTTAAATTAGTTTGACTTATGATAAGGAATATTAGCAAAGTTAAATTTTTCGAAATACTTCAATTATAAATTACAATTACATCATTTCAACTATTCAATAATAGTTTATAATACATTCAAAAATAATTTACAATAATTATTCTAGAATGTTTTATCTGATGTAAATAATCAATAAATT